CTACACTTGTATTTTTTACTTTGTAAATGTTATACAAAATACGCTATATCTTACCGTGAATTACTTTGATTTAATATCATTCATTAAAATGCTGCATGCGTAGAAATAACCCTAAAAACTAGAATTTTTTGTTTACTGACGTCATCACTCATTATTACGTCATAAGCCAAATAAATGCAACCCCCCCCCCCCTAGAAAAAATCCTGGGTCCGCCCCTGCATGTATCCAATATATTAAACTACCTTTATTATTATTATTATTTTATCTAATACATCTTTATTTTACGAGGGTAACATAATAAACCTCTCAGTTATCTAACTCATGGCCCTCGAAAACGAAAAAACAAAAACTTGAAAAAATATATAAGCAATTATACGATGTAACGATATACACCTACTTGCAAGAACGTTGTCATACGAAAATAGAACATTAGTGATTTAGTGGGATAGGAATTATATTAAAAAACAAAAGAAGGTCACTGAAGCTGAACTTTTTCTTTTGTCTTTTAATGTATTCCTTTCTCACTAAATTACTAATGTTCTAATATCGAGTTAAGTTTGTCGACGAAAAGAGAACGAAATAGTCAGAAAATCCTTCCATACCTTTTGATCCTTATGACTTGATCTCGTATAAAAGTGCAGTTGTTGGGGCAAACAATTAGTGTTTCTGGGCAGTAACTGTCATGGTGTTTGTCGAGCTCGTGTCTGATCAAAACAATCCTACATCGATCACAAAACACCATTTTGAACAGACATATCTTATCATGATCCTCCAGCTCTCTTCTCTGCATGTTGGTGTTGCAGTCAACATTAGGACACTGTACTTGTTGGAAAGGACACGTTTCTCTGTGTTTGGCAAGTGCCTGTAGCTTTCCGGTCCAGTCACACTTGAGCTCTATAGATATGACACAAGGTCACAAAGTGCAAAATGAGCTTATTATGCTCACAAGAAGCCCAAGCAATGCATTTGTCAGCGATAATAATTATAACTAGAAGGATTTCTTTATGGAAAACCCATTCCATAAAGTAAATAAACACATTAATTTTTTCGAAAGCTTGAAATTTTACTTCCCACCATTTTTTGTAGAAAAACTACAATTGCTGAAAAATACATTGCTTAGGCTCCTTGTAATAATATGCTTTGACCTCGAACAAATAAGCTGTAAAGCGTTCTAAAATATTATTGACTAGAGTAGCTAGTCGTGTATCAAAGCACTGAAGGTGGTTTTCAAACTTACCTTCATTCTTATCTGCTTTTATTTCAATATTCTGCTCGCTCTCTTGTGGATGACAGTAGACATATAGATTATCCACGATATTACAAACTATCAAGTTACGAACCAACTTACTGTCAGTGATCGCAGTGTTATCCAATGGACAATTCCTGCTCGTCTTCAGCCACAATTCAATACACTCACTGCAGAATGTGTGACCATCTTTSYAACTCACAGGGTCTTGGAATATCTCGTGGCTAGAATATGTTAACGAATATTACAAAATAAACAAAATACAATTGTCAGAATCAAGTTTATTTGGATTTTTGTGMTTCGTTTATTATAGTGTTACAAAAATAATGTGATTGCGACATACACAGTAATAAAGAACGCAGTAGCAAAAGAAGGCAATGCCTGTGAAATTTTTAGAATTTAATCATCATTAAATTGTTGTTTTGACTAAGAAATTTATACGTTGCCATATTGAATAATCGCTAAGAAACTAGATCGAAACTTTTTCTAATGATATTCTTTAGTGAACACCAGAAGATAGGACTTACCATATCGAGCAGAAAAGATTCTCATCGACGTTTTTCAAGAACTGTTCTGGTTTGTACCCCATCACTATACGGAAATAACAGCTTGCACAGTCGAAGGAAAACACTCATTCCCATGCCCTCACAGTTATTTATAGTCTCCCCCACAGCCGCTTTCAGTGTCGTCACGCAACGCTTTCTCCCCCGAGTAGCTCAGGAGAGAAAGCGTTGCGTGACGACACTGAAAGCGGCTGTGGGGCAGACTAAGTTATTTACTGCTGAGGTACCCGGCTCAGTGCAATCGGTTGGACACTACTTCTTTTGATCTCTTTTACTTTGAACGTAAAGTTTTTTACTTCTTTAGATCTCTTTACTTTGGACGTAAAGATTTCCCATTTTAGACGACGTGTCATTCTGTCGAGAATAAGTCATAGTTTGTGTAGTATCYATGTTCATGTGTCTTCTCATGCGTAACCGTTAAACAAAGAAATGATACTCAAGGAAATAACGTGGTCTTAAATGGGAAATCATAACGCCCAAGGTAGACGTCTATAAGTGGCGATTGCAAAATAATTTCCCTATTTTACTATGACGTCATTGCTTGYTTATTTGGAGAATAGAATCGCCAAATCCAATAAAAAATTCAACGATATTTGCTCCTAGCATGTATTAATATGTACTAAAAAATATTCTGAGCGTTTGCTGGCTATTCTACTTCTCTTCGTGGATTGATACGGRTTTTAGAACAATTTTCGGTGAATTTGCGTTGATTTGACCCCSTCCGACGACCATGATCCTTTGCGTTTAAATAATAGATTGTTTYGGTGTGACGTCATAGTGAAATAGTAGGGCAATTGGATGCTAAAAACAATCGTAGAACAGTTTTAGGAGGTATATTTAATATTAATAATAATACTAATGTAATTTAACTTTAGTCCACAACTTTTACAAATTTGGATACCACAAAAACAAAAATATTATTTAATAATTTTTGAGAAATTTAGATCTTTTTGTTTTAATCAAATATTTTTTTACAAGTTCGATTTCATCCGGATGTTCCAAACTAACCAATGATGATYATATTATGTTTTGTTAATTATTGCTGGAGACTAATATTTTCAAAAGTGACTTGATGCTTGATAAAAAACTATTTATCATTGAACCAACAGAATAGGCCCTTTACAGTTAACGGTCACGTGTCTGTACTGGACTGCAAAATTTTTGTTTCTATATTAAATTGGTGATACTTTTTAGCTACTTGTAAAGAACTGAATGAAAACATGTGTATYCAGTGTGTTACGAAATGCAGTTTTATAACAATCTTTTGAAACAGGTTGTAGAAAGTTTGTTCGCTCACCAGTATATTTCACCCTTGGGAATCAAAATTCTCATTCCTTTGCTCTCAGTGAATTAATCAGCACGTGATTGCTTAGCTGCAAAGGGCCTATTGTCTCTCCAATTCAGATCATGTGAAAAAACAAAAACAAATCAGGGAATTATGTTATAAAACATCTTGTTGCAAAATAAGAATGATATAAGAACAGTAACCAAGGCCTCACGTGTGTTAACRTGTGGCCATAAAGTTAAGCTATTGGATAGGTTCACTTTATTTAATGACTTATTTATTATTAACATATATAATACAAATAGAGTTTCTTGTTGTGAGGAACAGAATATTTTAAGCTTAAGTGACTTGCATGGTACATTGGATATTCAATACACCAGACTGGTTGCAGTACTTGAGTGATACACCATGATGATCATTCAGTGTAAGTGACTT